CACCCTGACTGAGCTTAGAGCAATCTAAGTGTCTGGGTGTGCAAGCATTCACAGGGCTTAGGTTACACTAAAAATGGCACATCCAATCTAAAGTTAGTTCGCATCAAACAAGAGCGACATGGGTTAACCTGACGTAACATGAGTTAACCCAGCCGAGTGAATACTTGAATGAGTCCCCAGCATAGCCCCAGGGCTGGGAAGGCCCAGCCTCTTTCCCTAGCCCTGGGGCTACACTGTTTTTACCTCATTCTCCCAACCTTGACCAGGCTATTTTCTACCCCTCTCTACCTGACCAACCAACGCACCTTTGGACTGGACAGCACTCCCAGCAGACCCAGCAGTCTGCACTCCCTGGACCTCTCAGCCCTTCTCCCTGGACTTACCTCTGGCTGCCCGCACAAACCCTTGCATGGGGTGGAAGCCGACTCAGATCTAGGCAGTTCAAAATTAGCTGCCAAACTTGATCCGGGTCTTCCTAACACTTGTTTGCACCCTACAGTGTTAGGTGAAGCTAACAGACCCAAATGGAGATTGTTCTGGGGGCATGGAGGTAGTCTGGTTCTGCTGGCCACGTTTGAGTTGAGCACAGTTTGATGTGGGTTGAGGAAAATGCCTGTCAATCTAAGCATGCTCTAAAATGTAATTTTTTTGACTCATCAAATATAATCTATTTTCCTTCTCCCCATTGTTTACTCAAAAGATTTGCGATCAAACTTTGTATATTATGTAGGTAAAATAACTCAGCACTGTAAACTAACATTTTTAATCCTTATTTAGGAACCTCTTAATGAGTCAACCATGTTTAAAGTCTTACCTTCAAAAGAAAGCTCTGTTGGAGTTTACTAGATTTAAACAATGGTAAATATGTAGGCAGAAGGAACAAATCAGAAATTTACCTCAAGGTGGAAAAAGAGGAGGTGAGACGAAGGGCACATTTTCAAATTTGACTCGAACCCAAGTTTTTAAAAGGTATTTAGAAGTTACGCTACCCAGTGTTGTAAACTAAATGTCAGGATGAAAACTATTGAATATAATAACAAAGGTCAAAAATATAAACACCAGAGTAATGAAAAACCTTGAAGGGGTGAGGGAAGAAAATCAGCTGAGCCACCTGCTTCTCCACTTCTAAAGACTGCAATTTAGAGACAGTAGATATAAGAAGGACCTCCAAGAATGCCATTATAATAATCGATCTGAGAAAGATTTATTGTTGCAACAGTAAGCACATATTTTGGAAATGTTCATTAAGTATAATCGACAGGTGAAACAGCAGGATCGATATGTGAAAGAAACAGGAAACCAGAGTCAAAGGTTATATCAAATTCCATGTGACAGCAACAAGTGTGATGCAAGTTTCATTTACCTCATTCTGCAGAGACTCAAGTGCAGAAAGTCAAGTCACAGCCAAGACATAACATTTCTGCATTACTTTTAGCAGATGGTTACCAAACAGCCAGCTGGAAATGACAGCTGAACAAGAGATAACAGAAAAGCAAATTTCCTTGGAAAATTCAGAGGCAGAAGTTAAGAGTCAATAAGTATCTTGACAGTATTGAATTTCACCTGCTCCGTGTTCAGATAATATGTATGCTTGTTCCCTTTATTCTGACCCAGACAAGATCCACTGATTTGCTTTCCTTACACCAGATTAGGGTGATTCCACATCCATACTCTAGCATGAGGTGATTCCAAAAGACTGAGGCATGACTTCTTTATCTAAAAATCCAACAAACTCATAGCCAGAGTTGTTTCAGAGCAGCACCTGCCCCCCTAGGGATGGTGGCAGGTGGCTTCACTCCCCAAAAGAACACTTTTTTTCAATTCCCATTCCCCAAGTCTCTCTCAGAACCACACCTACCTGCAACCCACCTACTGGAAGCTCATTACAGAGCCTTTGGTGAAGACTGAGATTCCATCCAAGGTCTTATCAGGTTAGCAATGTGTAACTTTAGCTACCTTTGGTCTGAAGTTTTGAAAGTGGCCACTGGGTTTAGGGTGTTCCAATTCCTATGGACCCTTCAGGCCAAATGTCAGAGTTGTGGTTGTTCAGCCCTTACCAGTCTATTAAACTGCATTATGTAGAGCTTTCTTTCTCCCCCTGAAGCATCAGCCATTGGCCACTCCTAGGCACACAATTCTGCAACAGATTAATTTAAGCATGATACAGAATGGCAAATAATAATCATGCTACCAGTATTAAAAATGTTATACTTTGCACATAGCCCGTTTTATTTCAAGTATCCTCAATCCTGACTCCTCAATTTACATCTTCAGTGACTGCCTGTCTTGCATGCATACCAGCCCAGCCTCTGGCTTCTTTATTATTCATTCCATCCAGGAAGAGCACACACCAACTTCAGAGGCTTCCTCAGCCTGATGAAGGGTGTTTAAATTCAAAAGCTTGCAAAAAACAATTTTCCAACTATTTAAGTTGATCTAATAGATGATGTCAGATTCACCCAAAGAACCTTGTCTGGCTATGTCCTTAGAACAACACCACTACAACCTACACCCCTATTTATTCAAAAGTCTTTCTTACTCTGTACATCATAATTGCTCTTTCTGACCTCTTCTGATTTACAGCACTATAGCTCATTAGAACTATACAATACAAAAAACTACGTTTTCAGAGTAAAATATGTATATATATATTTGTGTACTAACAAAAATGGAATACTATAAACCTCATCTCTCTTAATTAAATTTATCTTAATCTAATCTAATAAATCTAATTAATCTATCTTAATTAAAGGATTACACATAATTTTCAATAATGTTATTTAATAATATTTGGTGTTATTTAATAAGTTAATGTCTTTTACACTATCACAAAACTCTTCTCAGATAATATTAAACATTATGGCTGTGCAAAGCTTTGGTCTGTCATTCGATTTGGCGCAGATTCAGCCCGACTCAGCGGCCAAATCTCCAAATCAAATCAGAAGACCCTTTAATCTCTCTGAATTGAATCAGAACCCTCTGAATTGATGTGGAAAGATCCAAAGAAATGCGATGATTCAGACATAGACACAGCCTTAAAAGTTTTTTCTATATGCCTCAAGGTACCAGGCAGTTGTGAATGCTGAGATAGTGGGGCAGATGGAGCGTCCCATGGGAGCATGGGGGGTCCCCAGCATGCTTGGCAACAGACCCAGAAGTAGACCAGAAGCCCTTCTGGTTTACTTCTGGGTCCACCGCAGAGCACATGAGGAACCCTGTCCCCACCCTCCAGCTCAGTGACTGGTGCCTCCTCAGTCTGAGGGAGCACCCAGGTTCCGCCCCCCATGGCTGATTGCTGATTGGGGGAGGTCCACTGCCAAGCATGTGGGGGCCCCCGCGCTCCTGTGGGATGCTCCATCTGCCCCACCATCTCAGTGTTCACAAGCCATGCCTGGTACCTTGAGGTGTGCAGAAAAAACATTTAAAGCTGTATCTATGGCCGAATCACTGATTCTCTGAATCAGCATTGAATCTTCAGATTTGGGTTTGGCTGAATTGAATTAGGACAGTGATCCAAATCAATGAATCATATCACTGTCCCCCAAATTGGGCCGAATCCAAATTGAATACAGCCCACTTCACACACCCCTATTAAACATTGAATTTAAAGATTGTAGAAGCAAGAGAACTGAAGGGTTATGGCCACTGTTCCTTCTCAAATCACCCCCAGTATTGTGAGACATGACAGGGATTTTAGAACAGTGGGGGTCTTTCATAAGTCATATGTGCTGCAGCAATGCAACAAATTATGAGCAGAGCTTAAACCTGCACCCTGAATTCTTGTCTTTGTGAGCATGTTTCTCATGTGTGGAGTGTTGGTTTTATGCAGAGATGCTGTAGGCTGTGTATCATGAGCAGTATTGAACCATAGAGATGGATTCTTTTCTAAAGTTTTTAACATTTAAGATACATTTCTAAACTTGGTGTATGCTCCTTTTATTAAAAATCTGCAACCACATTTAATAACCATTGCCCTCCTTTGGATGCCAGTTCACTACATTTAAATAATAATATATTTAATCTAGAAAGAAATTATTTTTGTCAATACTGCACATGACATTATGGTGTAAATTAGAAAATTTAGTGATCATATGAAAGGAGCATATATTAATCTGATTTTAGGATGAACAGATGAAATGCCTATGTAATCAAAGGTAGTAATCAGTATGATTTCACAGAGATGAAAAATATTAGCCATATTTGTCTGATTTCATAAAGACTTAGGGGACCAGAAAAATCTGTGTATTCTGATGTAGGTTTAACAGACCTCAGTGATCAAGTAACTTAGAGTCAAATTCTGACTTGCCTACTCTGTTGAATAGTATCATTTTCCATGAATAGTTCCAGTCAAATCAAGGAGGTTACCCCAGAAGTAACCTGCATGAAAACCATTGCCTTCCCCAGAGTGGCAGGGCAAATTGTCACCCAGTCTCCCCCTCCCCGCCCCCCCAGCATGGAGTGCCCCACTCTCTAGGGGCTTCTCCCTGGGGCATCGTGCCTAAGAGTCTCATGGGGGGTAGCGGGGGCATAGATGCGGGGGGATGCTCCACACTGTGCATTGATTGGGAGATGCTGGGGTGCAGACAAGCCCTGGAACAAGAGATCTGGCACATGGGAACCCCTTACCCATGGTCCAAGGAGCTAGGATGGCATCCAGCAGGACTCACTGCAGGGAGCAGTATGGCAAGAGGGGAGAGGACCAGGCTGCCCGAGACCTGCTGCTCAGGCCAACATTGACTCAGCCCACCTTTCAAAGCCAACTTGCTATATGCTTGCTCCCAACCTAAGCTTGGGTGCTTAAGTTAAAGTTCAATAGTTAAAATGTTTCCACCTTGGCCCACTTGAATACCTTACAGACAAATTTATTTAAAAATGCATGAGCTTTCATACACTCGAACATATGAGTTCGTCTGTAAGGGTCCCTCTTCCTGACTTCAGACTAACAAAGTTAACTACCTCCCTCTACATATAAATATTAGAGGCAATCTTATGTTACCTACCCCACTTCGAGTTCAGTTCCTGTGGCCTTTTCAGATTTTAAAGAGTCTGAATCTGCCTCTGCCAATCAAAGTAGAACTAAGGGAGAGAAGAGAATTATGAATAAAATAGGTCAAAGTTTATGATCCAAATTCTTTTCTTATTTAAAAATAAGCACAGGCAGAAAATCTAGTCAAAATTTACAGATATTAAAGCCAAACATAGCCATCTTTATAGCTTCACATTTGTTCACTTATTATATATTTTGTGTATATATTTGTAAAGCAAGCTTGACATGGATGGATTATTCAGAAAGCTATTTTGAAGGAAAATGGGTAGTAATATTCTCAGGATCAGATACAAGAATAATTGCTGATCTCTGGTTAATTATATGATAATAAGACTTGTTCTACAGGCTTATGTAGCATAGTAGAATAAGTTTCAGATACTGGAGTTTGTTCCTATTACAGTTAATGAGAATTTTCTGTTTCACTTAAGTGACAGCAAGATCAAGTCTCCTAGTTTTGAAACGTTGCAATACAAACTTCCGGGAACTAGAAGGTTCAAATCTCAGTGTAGATGACTTAAACTCTTCATCCTTCTAAGGTAGATATGATAAACTGAGTCTATGCACTTTAGTATGTTGCTTCTTAAAATGAGTCCTTAAATGTTTGAATATGTATAAAAAAGAAAGATCCTGCTCCACTTTTCTTCAGAAGTAGAAGATGGCCCTTGTGTTTGATCAAAGCTTTGGGCTGATTTAGGGCTGTTTTTTAAGTGGTGCTTTAAGGTATGTATCTAACTATTTCTGTCTCTTGGAACCTTAAAATAAATAAGGATATATATGATACAGATATTCGTGAAAAGAGAGTATAGGTATGTGAGATTTCAGTTCTAAGCATAAGCAACTGCTGCAACATTTAGAGGCAGAGTAAATACATTTTCTATTAGTTGTATATATAACTCATACTATACATATGTATGAGCTCTATCAATCTCTCTATCTATCTCTCTATAAATAAATATGGGGATACACATAACATTTTCTCAACTTGATATTGAATTCAGTGTCCTGTTTTTCTTCAAATAAAACAAAACCATTGGCCTGCTTTTCACAGAGGAAGAGTCTTTGCTCTCTAAGCTTTTGTATTCAATAAAGAGGCTGGCCTGTGCTCCAACAAACAGAATTATTCAGCAAGTCACTGCCTTTGAAAAGTAACATGTAACACCTTGTTTTGTTCCTCAGTTCAAAAGGCACTGTCACTGTTGTACACCAGTGTTTTAAAAAAAAGAAGACTATAATTCATATGCAAACTAAGAGGGGGGATTTCATGATTTCATAATAAAATGTTGAAACGCTTTGATCGTGAGCTGGAAGGAGGTGTGAAACAGTGCTTCAGAAAGAGACAGATATTTGTGTAATCAGCCTTTATGTATTGCCAGTTCAGAATAATAACATATAAAAAGCCCCAACTTACCTCATCTGCCTGGTACAGCCAAGGCATAAATAAAAGAGAACAATGGAATTACTATTACTCACTCACTGAGCCCCAGCTACATCACTGTATTCTTTATAATTGCTGGCAAGAAGATTAATGTTTTGTTAAATATCAGAGTAAGGTCACAAGGGGGCTTGTAGGGCTGTCTAAACATCTAGTCTTTAAACTGCTTCCTTCCTTTTTTTTCCCTTCACGGAAATGAACTTGTAGCATTTCCTCTAATTATGGTGATTTTTGTGTTTTGTGTGTGTGAAAGGTGGATTCCATCTCTGACTCAGAGAATCCAAAAAACAGACAAGAGTAATAATCAGTCTATACATAATATCACTTAATAACTTAACGTATTATATGGAGGGTGATTTCTGTGTGTCAGTTATATTCAGAGCAGATGTTGGAGTTGCATGTTGTCTGCTACCTGTCAGAGTTCCTAGTAAGTTCCTCTATGTCCTGGAGTTGATTGGGTCTATGTTCACAGTATAGAAATCTCTCCATTATTATTGTTGTTGTCATCACCATGTAAATCAGTATTGTTTTGAAATCTAAATCTAAAAATAATCCTTGTAACAGGCTATTACATAAACGTTCATGACTCCAGGGTAATAAAGATTTAGGACAAAAAACATCATAGTCTTGTCATTTGAAGAAACCAATAGCCTCTGCACCTGCGGCATGATGCATCTAGCATGTACAAGAGCAGGCAGAGCCTTTGGTGTCAAAGTTCTCAGAGGTGGAGCGAAGCACCAAGTTCTGCGATATCTTCAAAGAACTGCTCAGAAATCTGTTCTTTCTGCTCTCACCACAGAAGTTTAAGGCCATTCCTCTGTATCATAACAGCATCCTTCCTTACATAAAAAGACACAATAGGACTTTACACGGAAACCATCAATGTGACTACTTAATGAGTTCATAGTGGTTGCGGCCAGAATTGTATGAGCCTCAACCATCCTCCATTCATCTAACATACACAGGGTTTATTCTGAGAATCATACTTACATCTTCTCTAAGTCAATAGAGGAGGAATACTTTCCCCCCTTAATTTCCTTCTGCTATTGGTGGTTTCCATTAATCTGTCTTTCCTTGATGTCATGTTTAAGCTGCATGGGATACATAAGTGATCAAGGTAACAGGGCAGCTATCATAAATTGAGTAAAAAGAACTCAAAGAAGAGAGTGCTCTGGGAAACTGGATCAGTTGGGACTGGAAGCCAACCCCTGCCCCCCCCCGCCCCCCCAGAGTGTGTGGTAGGAGAGAGGTATGGAAAAGTAAGTAGTAGTAGTAAAGGTAGAAGGACCTTCAGTTTGTTTTCGTTTTTTCTGCCAGATAAAAACCTTGGAGGAACCCAATTTTCTGGACTCCTTGCTTAAACCCTAAAACTTATCATCTTACCAGGGTTTCACAAATGCGCTTTCTTCTTGCATTTTTCCTGGGCCACCATGGTTGCAACAACACTCCAACCCTACTACAGGGTTCCAAAATCAGTCTGAAGATAAACTTTTTAAATGAGTGCCTTCCTGTTAATGGAAAGTTTATTTGGTTATGTTCTATGGCCTCTCAGAGTTTTGGACTTTGAGACCGTATGTGTTGGCTGTGAAGCTACTGGTTCTTATATTTACAGTATGATGGAGATATTTGTCATGATTCTGTAGTTAATGATTAAACACTGAAATTGATTCTTCCAGCAAAAAGATTTAAAAATTAGCAGAAGAAAGGGTTTGCACTGAAAATAAACTAACCAAGCATGCCTTTACTTCATTTCTACATTAAATTATTGCTTTAAAGATTGGGAAAAACCCTGTAGTGGTGGCCATAATGGCCCTTCAATCACTGTAAGAAACAATTAATAACAAGATAGCTAAAAATTATGCAAATATTTCTCAAACTATAAGCCACATGCAAAGGCCATAAAAAATCCAAACAGTATGGATACCTGTGTGGATAGAGATGTTTCACTGTGAACTGAATATAATCACAGAGGGCTGAGTATTGGTTCTGGGAGAGTTAGATATCTGAACAGAAGCAAAAGGTTTGATATGCTCAGTTGTCTTAAATTCTGTTGTTTAGTTTATTACTACTTACTATTATTATCAGAGAGTTACCTTACTCTTTACCCAGCATGCCTGAAATTTTTGTAAGAATATGTAGTACTAGCAGTGGCCTGGGCAGCAGTGGCAGTTCTGTTGAACAAAGAAAGGAAGGAGGACTCAGAAAACTAC